GTAGGAATGATCGACTCATGGTCCTGACAAAGTGTTGTTATTTTTCAGGTCAATCAGAAATCCAATATGGCCACCACAGTCGCTATTTTGTAAATACCTATTCTAAACTTAAAAACAATTAATAATAGGCCGATCTTATTTAAAATCGGTCTAGGAATGATCAGCTCATGGTCCTGACAAAGTTAAGTTAACATTATACTTAACTATTTTTTACTTAAATTGGTACATATTTCAACAACAAAAATAAATACTGTAGGACTCAGGTGACCGTTAAGGCCCATGGGCCTCTTATTGATGTTACTTATTTTAACTCTAATACAGTTGGCTGTCACTTACCCTTCCGGAACACCTGGTCTAATTCCTCATTTGTTTTGTCAATGGACTCTATGAAAAAAATCATGTGTTGGTATTTTGCTTCAGTCTCGTTTGTTTACACTTCGATATTCTCTTGTTGTTGTTCTGAAATAATAATGATTAGAAATACGATCTAGGGAAGTACCTATTTAAAATTTTGGTAAGAAGATTGAGAAAGCCAACGCAAACATTTCTACATCATAAGGCCATTGAGGACACATCAGCGGTAATTCAGATCAAATGAAAGTCCATATCTACTGTGTTAACTTCTGACACATTTAAAAATAGAGCGAAGAGTAACTGTGCCTATACAACCCTATTTTATGCTTCAAATTTGTTTTCCTATTGAACGTTACCTTGTTTACATCTATGGTGGCTCTAGATGCAGACCATCTCCATCGTCAGGTGGGTTACTTCGTCATCGGTCGCTCCGGCGCTTCCACAACGGCCTGTGAAGGTGCGCCGGTTGAGGTGATCATTGGTCATCTCCAAGACCATGTTTTGCCGATTGCTACATTGAACAAAAATTACATTGTCATTGTCACTTTCACGTTAACCACGTGTCCTCTTCCAATCATCCAAATCCAGAGGGACGAGGTTTTCGCTTCCTTACTTGCTTTTCCACATACCCGTCTTCTCTTCTGACCCGTTTCACCAAACGTACCTATGCTATTGTTCGCCTTAATGAGTGACTCGCAAACCCTCTGTCGCCCACTTCCCATGGCATAGATCTTCATATTTGGATTTATTTTTCATGAGCTTCCTCCATATCTTTCCTACCATGGTATAGTCAGCTCCAGTATCATTACCTGCTTCGTTGTCCGTGACCAGATGACAATGTCAGGACGTGAGGTGGTGTCAGCGATTTCTGCATGAAACGATCATTTCCTTTCAGCTCTATCGTCACTCTTTCCCTGCTGTCCTTCCTTGATTTAATTCATAAATCTTACTCTTTCTTTACCTTTCTCTTTTCAAGGGAACTGCGATGGTGTTCAGGACATTACCATGTCTCCAAGTGTATTGACCCATCTCCAAAAGCCACTTGGGAAGATGAAATGCACTTGTTCGAGATTACTTATCATCAGTAAATCAACGTGTCCGCAGGTTCTTTTGACTAAGTTAGACATCACACCGCATTCAAAAGAATTCTTATCCTCGATGTGTCCTCGGAAACATATATGTATTAAATGTATAGGTATTTTATATAGATTATAAAAAGTGACAGATTTGTACATGGATTGTATGATCATGACTTTCCGTTGATGCTCATCAAATTTACTATATTTTCAATTTTGATCTGTTCTTACTCTCAGTTGCTGGTACTGTGATGATTAGTGCAGTTCGTTATGCGTTTGTGTTATGTGATCGCGGTTGTCTACCGGTATGTAGCTTCTATAACTGGCCAACGTACCCGTACCCGATTCCTCTAAAACCTTTTAACGGCTAGTCTCTATTTAAGTAAATGAGTATTTTACCAGAAAGACACAGGATGCAATGTAAACAGGTACTTATATTTTGAAACGAATCGGAACATTCACATGAGCAAGTACATCAATAGAATTGCAAGATAACATTTAAAGAATGGGTTACTTTTTATCGTCTGTGAAAGCCACGTTATTCTCCATGTACTTTTTCAATTGTCTCCTTGTAAATATTTCTTTTGTTAATATTTTGGCCCAGTTTTATCTAATGTGATCAAATTTCGGTATCTCATACAATGAAGCGTTCTAAAGCGCGAGACATATCATTTCATGATTTATTGATGTTTCGCTAACAGCCTCCGCACTTTAAAGTCAGTTCTATTAGTTTATTGTTATTTATTTATTTATTTAACGTGTAGCAACGTTAGTATACTGTCCTTTTGCATAAATTTGTAATGGTTTAGTTAAGTGTATCGACTTGTTTCTCTATTACAACATAGAAACTTTAACGTATTTTGTCTCACATTTTAGGATGGCTGTGATAAATTTACGCTCAGCTACAGAGGATGAGCTGTGCACGTTGGAGGGTTTAGGC